CTGACATAGAGAACTTCTGTCTCTCCTTCTGGGTCACTTCTATTAGAGGGACACCAAAGTGATGCTTCTAGATCCCAATGTCCTAAAGAGTTTTACTGGAACATTTTTGTTGTTGTTAATTTGGGGTTTGTTTTGTTGTGTTTTTAAATTTGCAGCCCCCTTCCTCCTTAGATTTCAGAATTGAGTCTAGTAGAAATTGGGCCAGGAGATAACTTTGAGAGAGAGAGAGCGCGAGCGAGCAAGAGAGAGCTCTTATAACATTGCTTTGCATAAAATTGCTTCTCTCCTCTGACAACATTTTGTTATTTAATGAGTTTGGCCTTACGTAACTTTTTCTTAGGAAGAATTCTTTGCCTTCATTCAAATAGGCTTAGGTTTGGGGCCCCTGGATGGCGCAGTTGTTAAGCGTCTGCCTTTGGCTCAGGTCATGATCCTGGGGTCCTGGGATCGGGTCCTGGGATCAGGTCCTGGGATTGAGTCCTGCATCGGGATCCCTGCTTAGCGGAAGCCTGCTTCTCCCTCTCCCACTCCCCCTGCTTGTGTTCCCTCTCTCTCTCTCTGTCAAACAAACAAACAAATAAATAAATAAATCTTCAAATAGGCTTAGGTTCAAACAGAGTTCCCCTGCTACATAAAGATTAATGTACAGTTCAGAATGTTGTTTCTCTAAATCAGTTGTAGAACAATTGGGTATTTTCTAGTGAAGGATCTTTCGGTTGGAAATAACAGAAGTCTACTCCAACTAGGTTAAATGAAAAGGAGGATTTATTAGAAGAATCAAGTGAAGGTCAAGAGTGTGAAGTATAGTTTATCCTCCCAAAAGACTGGAACTGGTTAATTTATTTGATACACCCACAGGATTTGATAGAATTGATTACTTTTTCCTCCTTGATATGTTTTCTTCTCTTGACTCTTAATGATGAAGGAGCAGAAGTCTAGCTGAGGACAAAGCACAAGCAACCTCCCCCCCACACCCCCAAAACACACTCTGGGTGGGATATGTGGGACATTCCTCCAGGAAACTTCCAACTATCTTAATGTTAATATTTTGCTAGAGGGAAAAACAACCTTAGCTTGATAATAGCCAGGTCTCCAGTATCCTGAGGGTCTTCTTTAGCATATGAAAGTCCTTTTGGACACCTCCCTTTTTCCTTACCTCCCCCATCTGCATAGTATGTAATTAATAGCTCCTCACAACCCCAGTGCAGCTCCTTCTGCCAGCAGGTCCTGTCCCCGTGCTTTAATAAAACCACCATTTTGCACCAAAGACGTCTTAAGAATTCTTTCTTGGCCATCGGCTCCGGACCTCACCCTACCAAACCTCACCTACATTCCAAATCTACATCACTAAGACACCTTTCTTTCCTGGGTTTCCTTGTACCTTACTGGCTGCTCCATTTCTGTTTTCTTTTCTAGCCCCTCCCTGTCCTCTAAACCACTGGTGCTCAAAGGTAGCACACGTTCGTTCGAGTCACCTTATTAAAACGCCGTTAGCTGGGCTCCACCCCCGGAGATTCTGATTCAGTAGGTCAGGAATAGGGAAGAAAAGTGTATATTTCTAACAAGTTCCCATGTGACGGTGATGTTACTGGTCTAGGGACCACAGTTTGAGACCCACTGCTTTAAACACTGGAACGAGAGCCCAATCCGTACTCAGTTTCTGTATTTATGTATACTGCCTTGTGATCTCATCCAGTCTCATGGTTTTCAAAAGCAGCTATACAGATGTTTCCCTTGAGTCTCTAGCTCAGACCTCTACACCAAAAGTTTGTATGACTGATATACCTACTCAACATATCTACTCAGATATACAACGGTCATCACAAACTTAATTTTTCAAGACCAAATTCTTATCTTCCCTCACAAAACCTGCTCTTGCCACGTTCTGCCCCATTTCAATAAATGGCAATTCCATTCTTTTCTTTTTTTTAGTTATTTAAATTCCAGTTGGTTAACATGCAGTGCAATAATCATTTCAGGTGTAGAATTCCATGATTCATCACTTACATACAATAAGTGCTCATCACAACAAGTGCCCTCCTTAATCCCCATCCCCCATCTAACCCAACCCCCCCTCCTGCCTCCCCTCCAGCAACCCTCAGTTTTTGCTCTATTAGTTAAGAGTCTGTTTTATGGTTTGAATGGCCACTCTAGTCTCTATTTGCTCAGGACCAAGCATTTCAAGTCATTTTTGACTATCACGCCCTATAGCCAGTCCATCAGCAAATGCTGTGAGCTCTACCTTCAAAATATATCCAGAATCTCACCACTTCTCTCCACCTCCATCATTACCATCTTGATTCATGCCAACATCATTTCTTACCCTGATTATTGACATAGCTTCCTAACCAGTCTTCGTAGTTCTGCCATGGCTCTTGGTCTCGTCACCACACAGAAGCTAAAATGAGGCTTTTAAAACATTAGTCAGCTGCTCGGCAAATGATGTCCTTTCCTAGTTTTGTGAACATCTCACCATTAGAATCTTACTGAGAGGCAGAGCCTGTCTCCCATTGCAAACCAAGAAAATTTCCAAGAAACTGAGCAAAAACATATGACCTAGACTTGGCCTGCATGGAAGCTGGTATTTGTACAACACAGAAGCTGGGCCAGGGTAGATTTCATTCTGGCCACAACAGCCAGTCCCTAGGGCCAACAATGGTAGTGGTATGATTCCAGCATCAGCATATGGCGCTGGTGGGCTCATCAGATTAATTTTGAGGTATGATTTTAGAGACAATTCTGAATTTCTTTTTTTTTTTGTAAAGATTTTCTAATTTATTTATTTGACAGAGAGAGAGAGAGCACATAAGCAGGCAGAACAGGAGGCAGAGGGAGAGGGAGAAGCAGACTCCCCGCTGAGCAGGGAGCCTGATGCGGGACTCGATCCCAGGACTCTGGGATCACGACCCAAGCCAAAGGCAGTTGCTTAACCAACTAAGCCACCCAGGCACCCCACGATTCTGAATTTCTAGCCATTCTTGGTTCCTGTCCTTTTTCTTGAGCCTGATTCTCTAGAGTCTGTAGCTATTTCTTGAGCTACCCAAGCGACTTTCAATAAATTCCTTCCATTCATAAGGCAACCAGAGTTAGTCCCATTCAACTAAGAACCCTGTTACTATGGGTATGAATAGAACATCCAGTATAAGAGAAGAAACACATGGAGTTTTGCTTTAGTATTGGCCACCATATACTAACTGACAAACCGGATTGAAACAAGGGAAATCAACTAAATTTGCGAGGAGATTTAAATCATGTCATGTGAGGCATTATTGCAGAAATTGTAGATGTTTAAGCCTGTGGAAATCTCAGGGGACCGAAATTGTTTAAAAAAAAAAAAATCCTGGGAAGAGGGAGTGAATTTGTTATTTTGTGCAGCGCTAGAGGGCAGCACTAGCTCAAGTTACAGGAAAATTGATTTCTGTACTATATAGAGACATTCCAATAGTTAAACTACAATAATTGGACAAAACTACAGCAATGAGATAAACTGCCTTGAACTGAGGTATTGACACTGGAAGCCCTGAAGCAGGAACTAAATTACTGGCTACTTCAATGGGTTACATTCAGTGACCTCTGAGGTTCCTTCTAAATCTGAGGCTACAGAAAAACAAACACCTGGTGACTTCTTTGGCCAATGAGTACAGTCACATGATTTAGAGACCGCTATCAGTCTGGCAGGTTTCTTTTTTTATTTTTCTTTTTTAAGATTTTATTTATTTGAGAGAGAGAGAGGCAGAGAGAGAGAGAAAGAGCATGAGCAGTCAGGGGAGAGGGAGAAGCAGACTCCCTGCTGAGCAGGGAACCCAATGTGGGGCTCAATCCCAGGACACCCCAGGATCATACCCTGAGCTAAAGGCAAACACTTAACCCAGTGAGCCACCCAGGCATCCCATGTTTCCAAAATAATAGGTAGGAATTATAATAAAAGAAAAAATAGATAATCATTCCCATGTAGAGAAGTGAGACCAACATAGATTTTATGTACCTAGAATGGAAATTAAGCACTATGATATTCTAGTGCAAAATTCGGTATTAATTTACATGTACTTGGGGTGCCTAGGTGGCTCAGTGAGTTGAGTGTGTACCTTCGGCTCAAGTCATGGTCCCAGGGTTCTGGGATGGAGTCCTGCTTCGGGCTCCCTGCTGAGTGGGGAGCCTGCTTCTCCCTCCCTCCCAGCTCAGTGTGCTCATGCACGCACTCTCTCTCTCCATCTCTCTCTAATAAATAAATAAGATTTTTAAAAATTTACATATGCTTAACTGTTCTTTCCTTGGCAGATTTCTCTGGCAAAATACCATAGCAAGTTATTTTGATTTAAAAGTTAAGTGCTTTAAGGAAAGAGTTCTATCATAATGGTTTTTAAAAAAAAATTTTTTTATTTTTAAGTAATCTCTACACCCAACATAGGGCTCGAACTCACAACCCTGAGACCAAGAATCGCATGCTCTTCCGAATGAGCCAGCCAGGCACCCCTGTTATAATGCTCTTAACAGATATTTTGGGGAATACAATGATTCCTATTACTTGTGTTAAACAACAAAATTCAACCGAGTAAATTTAAAGATCGAATTGGCATTATTTATTGATTCATGAATTGGGAAGAACCCCACCTAGCAGATAGAAAGGACCTCCAAAGAACTATAGGAAAGGAGAGGTTTTTAATTCAGAAAAGGAAGTTTATTAGCAAAGAAGGCATTGTTTCAGGCAAGTTTGCTTTCCTAAGGAAGGGGTCTAAAGGCGTATTTCCACACTAGTGCTGACTAAGTAATTCCAGGTCAACTGGTTAACGATTATGTTCCTGGAAGAGTCTGAAACCGCAATTAGATTAGGTATTAAGTCTCAATTTGGTGACGTGGGGCATAGCATTAGTGACTCCATTTTGGTTGTCTCTTTCTTAACAATCCCCGGCGCCTTTGATCAAACGCTCAGCTAAGCTGAGAGATGTGACCAAATTTTAAGGCATTAGTGCCACTTTCAGCAACCTCTCAAGTTCTGTTACTTTCTGTTGATTCTTGGTGTGGTACTCAGAGGTCACAACAATTTTGCTGACACAGGTCACAACTTCAGGCTCACAATTTTGCAGTTGGTCATTTCCTTCACCCTTTTCTGGCATTCCAGTTTTAGGGACGTCCTTTTTTTGGTGGTTAGCAGCTGCAAACATGCATTTAAAACGTTTGAGAGAACACAGCACACCAGGGAGATTACTATGATTATTACAATCAGGATAATTACTGATGTCTGGAGTGCACTTCAAAGCCATAGTCTCCAAGGCCCAAGCCAATTAAAATCAAATAAGTCAAAGAAAGACCCCATTGAAGGAGTCACCTTTTTAAGCCAAGTGCTTTGCTCAGTGACCTTAAATAACTAAGTTTCAACTTCCCCAGAAGTGTTAATCCAGGTGCAGCATGTGGTATTGGCTACAGCACAGACACGTCCTTGTTCAGCTAAAACATAATCAAGGGCTATCCTACAATCAAGAATTTGGGCCAGAGGGGCGCCTGGGTGGCTCAGCCGTTCAGCGTCTGCCTTCGGCTCGGGTCATGATCCCAGGGTCCTGGGATCGAGCCCTGCATCGGGCTCCTTGCTCAGCAGGGAAGCCTGCTTCTCCCTCTCCCACTCCCCTGGCTTGTGTTCCCTCTCTCTCTGTCAAAAAATAAATAAATAAATAAAAAAGAATTTGGGCCAGAGAGTCCAAGGATTTTTGTCACATTGCTGTTGCATTAGCAACAGATTCTGTAACATTTTCAAGGATCAAGGAGATGTTCCTGATCATAGCCTTATTTACCTTTATTCCTCAACAGGGAAGTGGGGACCTGTCAAAGGGAGCTAATTTTAATTCACAAGGGCCTCTGGTACAGCCATATGGGTAAGAAAATGTAAGGTCTATAGACCACACAGGTGGTTTTATTCTGGTTACCTCTGCTTTGTTTCCCTTTCTTTTTTTTTCTTTTTTTTTAAGATTTTATTTATTTATTTGAGAGAGAGACAGAGAGCACGAGCAGGCAGAGGGAGATGGAGAGGGAGAAGCAGATCCCCCACTGAGCCGGGAACCTGATGTGGTTCTGGACCCTGAGAACCAGGACCCTGAGAACATGACCTGAGCCGAAGGCCAACACTTAACTGTCTGCGTCACCCAGGCACCCTTGTTTCCCTTTCATTGCGTGGAGCCTAGACTAAAGCTTCCCTGGGTTTGGGGTTGTTTTTTGTTTGTTTGATTTTTTTTAAAGATTTTATTTATTTATTTGACAGAGAGAGATATAGCGAGAGAGGGAACACAAGCAGGGGGAGTGGGAGAGGGAGAAGCAGACTCCCTGCAGAGCAGGGAGCCCGATGCGGGGCTCGATCCCAGGACCCTGGGATCATGACCTGAGCAGAAGGCAGTTGCTTAATGACTGAGCCACCCAGGCGCCCCTGGGTTTGGAATTGTTAACTAGGGATAGGGAAATGGACCTCCAGGTGAGGCAGTATGACACAATAGTGAGATGGCTGAGTTTGTTCTAAAGAAAACTGAAGCAGAAGCATTTTGCAAGTCCAACAGTGTTTGGAGGTTGGATTGCCCTCTTTAGCAATTGCCTAGGAGATACAGATGATGCCATTATCTTTTCAGGCCGATGACAGAGTAAAGGAAAGTAAGAGAAAAAGAAAGGGTTTCATGTTTAGTTAAAGTATGAAGTCTTGATCCAGAGTCTTGGGAGGAAGCAGTCTACCTTGAAGTCAGCTATTTCTTTTTCTACCCAATTTGATTTTGAAGATTTCAACTGGTGTGGAGGGGTAGATATCAGGTGGAGACTTCTTTAGCTGTGAAATACATATCCAAGGTTCAGGTCCCTGAAATTTAGCTGCCATCTGGTTAATGAGGAAGACCTGGTCTAGTCCTTTCCAAGGAAATTCAAGGGTAGTCTTTGTCTGGAGTGATTCTAAACTGGAAGGGTGGGAGAAAATTGGAAATATTAGTTTGAAAAGTTGTAGCCAGATATTTGAGGAAACCAGAAGAATTCAGAACCCAGTCCAGTTATAGGTATATAAAAAAACCTTAAGGCAATTAATAGGATTAGAATCTAATATTTAAAAAGTGCTAACATAATTTCTCTTTCTATAATTAAGCTGCCCCTTTTTTATCAAAGATAATTTGTTTACACTAAATTTGCTATGATTATTCACATAAATGCAACAAGAATACTGATTGACCATATATGCTCTTTTTTTTTTTTAAAGATTGATTTATCTGGGATGCCTGGGTGGCTCAGATGGTTAAATGTCTGCCTTCGGCTCAGGTCATGATCCCAGGGTCCTAGGATCAAGTCCCACGTCAGGCTCCTTGCTCAGCAGGGAGCCTGCTTCTCCCTCTGCCTGAAGCTTCCCCTGTTTCTGCTCTCTCTCTCTTAAAAATAAATAAATAAAATCTTTATTTTTTTATTTTTATTTGTAAAATAAAATCTTTAAAAAAAAAGATTTATCTATTTTACAGATGGAGAGAGTAGGAGGAGGGGCAAAGGGAGAGGGAGAGAGAGAGAACCCCAAGTAGACTCCCTGCTGAGCAAGGAGTCCGATGTGGGACTCGATCCTAGGACCCTGGGATCATGACCTGAGCTGAAATCAAGAGTCAGATGCTTAACCAACTAAGCCACACAGGCACCCCTAAGCTCTTTTTAAGGCTGCTTTGCTGAAGCAAAGTACCAGGCTGATTTATCCAAAAGGCACATTGGCTTCATAAAGTGAAACGTAGTTTTTTAGAACTTGCTATTCATATTTGAGTCTGCACACATCTCTGTCAAATATGACATTTCAAAACAAATACGACATTTCAGTCAAAGCCTCGGTAATATAACCGATGTTTTTAATTGTGTCCTGTTACAAGAACAGATTCTTTTTTTTTTTTTTTAATATTTTATTTTTTATTTGAGAGATTAAGCAAAAGCTTGGGGGGGGCGTGAAACAGAGAAAGAGGGAGAAGCAGACTCCCCACTGAGCAGGGAGCCTAATGCTGGGCGAGATGTCAGGACCCTGAGATCATGACCTGAGTCAAAGGCTTAACCGACTGAGCCACCCAGGTACCCCAGGAGAACAGAGTCTTACTGAATTTATGTAAATAACTACTTTGCCATAAAAAGACAAGAATTTCTGGATTCTGGGGTGCCTGTGTGGCTCAGTTGGTTAAACATCCAACTCATGATTTCGGCTCAGGTAATGATCTCGTGGGTCATGGGATCCATTCCTGCACTGGCTTCTGCAATTCTGCTTAGGATTGTCTCTCTTCCTCTCACTCTGTCCCTCCCCCCAACTCACGTGCACTCTCTCTTTCTTTTTTTTTTTTAAAGATTTTATTTATTTTTTAGAGAGCGAGCGAGAGAGAAACAGCATGAGAGGGGAGAGGGTCAGAGGGAGAAGCAGGCTCCCCGCTGAGCCGGGAGCCCAATGTGGGACTC